GCCCCCGGGCCCGGGCCCGCCCCGTGTCCCTTCCGCTTGCGGGGGCCCCGCATCCCTCCAGGCCTCATGCGGGTAAGGATCTCGGCGTGAGTGGAAGAGAAAGGACGAAGGACAGAATCCGAGGCAGCGGCTTCGAGGATCCCACCTCTTTGTTGGGCGACGGGGCGCAGCGCTGCGGTCCAGTCTGCCGGGGAGGGGACGGTCGTTCGCGCGGAAGCTCTCGTCCCCCGGCCCCTTGCGCCCCCTCCTGACCCGGCTTCGCAGAGACGCGCTCCTACGCCCGGAGGGCCCGACGTGGGGATCCTCCCCTCCCCAGGATCCGGCCGCCCGCCCTCAACAAACCTGATAAGTAAAAACCTGAGCCCACGCGGACTTAGGTTAAGCGTACGGTTTGCCTTATACGAATCTGCTACTTTATCCTGTGGTCACCGTGCTCTCCTGGTGCACTTTAAACTCAGTGGTTGAATGTCGACCTGTGAACCAGGAGGTCACCGTTCGATTCTGGCCAGGAAGCCGCCCATCAACGACCCTGTCTCATCAATGACGTTTCTCTCTCCCCCTCCCTTCCTCTCTCTGAAATCAATAAAAACATATATAAAAAATAATATAATGTGCAAAATAGAAATCATCCATCTCCACACCTGCTATGGCTTTGAGGGACAGCAATCTGTCATTTCTAGTGCCCTGCCAGGCCTGGCTACTTGTCAGTGTGAGGTCGCACCCCTCGTCTCTTTCCACTGGCAGGGGGACACAATGGCTTCTCGCGAGAAGTCTGGGGGACCCCACTGCAGTCATTGTCTTACTTATGGAGGTTTTTTTTTAGTACAGTACAGCTATTTCATACTACACTTGTGACTTACAATCTTTAACATAAATTGTCTAGAGTTTTGGGAAATGGGAAGAATAGCAGAGAGCACCCTGCTTATGTGCAGCAGGGGCATCAACAGCTGGGGGTGTGGTGGCAGGGGGTGTCTCAGTGTTGTCAACCCCCTCTCTCACCCACATAGCCCACAGTCCTTAGCTACCATGGCCCCTGGTGGCCAATGCTGGGGGCCTCTCATCCTATTTACCAGCAATGTCTGTACCAGGTACTGCTGCTTAAGGAGGGTCCACTGGCCTGTGGTCCTGCCCTCCCAGATCACACTTTCCCCGGGGGTGGGGTGGGGTGGGAGTTGCCAGTGCATCACTTTGGAGGCTATGGGCAATCCGGTCTGGGTTGCCTGCTGCAGTGCCCAGAATCCTTCCTCAGAAGGTAGCCAAGGTTGCAGCCTGCCCTCACTACCCTCAACCCCAGGCTAAAGTAGGTGAAGGAGCCCCAGCCAGCACCTTCTTCCACTCATGCTGGGGAGACTTGCCACCCACCTGGGGGCCTTGGGGCATGTTGGCAGTGCCAGGGTGAACTAGAGGCTCACTTTCCTCCAGGGTACCAGCCGTGGGACCAGTGCTGAATCTTTGAGGGTCCAGGTTGGGTGGGCAGCAGCAGCAGCAGGCCTAGCCTGGAGCTGGTCATGGCAGGGCTGCTCCTGATGGGGAACTCGAGAAGTTAGAATTTTTTTACGTTTAGCACTAGCTGGTTTGGCTCAGTGGTTAGAGCATCGGCCCATGGGGTAAAGGGTTACAGGTTCGGTTCTGGTCAAGGGCACGTACCCTGGTTGCAAGCTCTATCCCCACCCCAACTGGGGCTCATGTAGGAGGCAACCAATCAGTGTCTCTCACATTGATGTTTCTCTGTCTCTTCCCCCTCCCTTCCACTATCTCTAAAAAAAAATAAAATCAATGGGCCTGGCCAGTGTGGCTTAGTGGTTGGGTGTTGACTCATGAACCATGAGGTCTCAAATTTGATTCCAGATCAGGGCACATATCCGACTTGTGGATTCAATCCCCAGTAGGGGGCGTGCAGGAGGCAGCCCATCAACATTTCTCTCTGTCCCTCTCCCTTCCTCTCTTCCTCTAAGATCAATAAAAAATATTTAAATTTTTTTACTTTTAGAAATATAGTTAATAGGCTTGGTAAATAATGCATGGACAAAAGCTATTGTTTCAGGAACTGGAATGCGTGACTGGACCTGCCCTGACTCCAGGAGACCCTCAAGCAATTCGACCTTTGTGACCCAGGAGGGCTGCAAGCAACCAAGATGGTGTCTGGGTCATTGTGCTCCAGGGAGAGAAGTCTGCTGCTCAGGATGCAGATACGGAACCTCTGGTCAGCAGACGAAGGGATGCTCGGGAAACCACCGCACTGCAATTTTGTTTTGTTTTTTAAATATATCTTTATTGATTTCAGAGAGAAGGAGAGAGAGATAGAAACATCAATGATGAGAGAGTCATTGATCGGCTGCAGCCCGCAACCCGGGCATGTGCCCTGACCGGGAATTGAACCCTGATCGCCTGGACCCTAGGTCGATGCTCAACTGCTGAGCCACGCCTGGCCTGGCAGCACTGGTTTTTATCTGATTAAACCTTTTCCCTGAATTCCAAACCCCTTACCTACTTTCTTCTGAATTCCAAATGCTTTATCTACGCTTTTCTTCTCCTTATAAAAAGGGTGAGTTTGAGATGTAAAACTCATAAAGATTCAATCCTTGTCTCTACTTATTGGTTCTAGTAGTGACAGGCAGCATGAATGGTGGCTTTTCCAGTTTCACTCCCATGGAGAGTGGACAGCACTCAAGGAGACTGACACTTCCATCCAGGATCCCTTTGGACAACTGGCACTTCAGGGGTAGGTTTAGTGTCTCCTAATGCCCCTCCCTCTTCTGCCACTGCTCCTCATCCCAGGACTACAGGGGTCCCAACCCTGAGAGCTCCTGGCAACTAGCCTTCTCCCAAAGCCTGGAGCCTGGAGATTACCGAGCTTGCCAGCTGGGGGCCACCCCAATCTGTCTGGCCTACCCCCCCTTTCTTTGGGGATTCCAGAAATGGGAGAAAGTTGGAGACTTCAAGCCACTGGATGATCAGGGAAAGGGGAATTCTCCATGAGACAGGCAGCAGTGTGGGGGCAATTGGGGGCACCTGGTGCTGAGTGACCAGAGTGGGGGCTCTCTGCCTCTTCTCTCTGTGGCTTGCCATATTTCTTCTATGGTAGGTGGGGATGTGAAAGGATGTGTGGTGGTGACAGGGGCAAGTACTTCTACCCCTTGTCCCTCCCATACTACGGGCAGCAGGCACAGGAAGTTTTGTTAGGGAGAGAAGAGGGAAAGGGGGCTTTTCTGGGTATGGTTCTTGGGGAGAGGGATTTGGGAAGAGGAAGGGGAGCAGTGTGCTACCTACCCAGGATGGAGCTCCATCCAGGAGTCCCAGCCCTTGGGGAGGGCAGCCTCCACACTCACAGGAGAGCTGTGGATGAGGTGGCTTCTTGAGGTGGCTCCTTCCCGCCACAGGGGGCCCCAGACAGCCCCAGGATGTATTGATCCACCCCCAGCTGCAGCCCACACACTCCCATGTCTCAAAAAGGGGAAGGGGAGCAGCTCACACCCTCCCCACTGCATGTTCCCAGTATATTTTCAGCCACTGACCCTGGGGTCACCAGACTGATGTTCCTTGCATCTTCACAGGGATCTGGAGGTCATAGGACTCCTGCTCTAGACAACCCCTTCCCTGAAAAGCCATCTTCCCACTTCCCAGGCTGCCTCCTCAAGCTCCTGTCCTTAGGCCTAGAAAGCCACATGGCCTTTCCCGATCAAAAAAAGGAAATTGTGGCCTGGAGAGGGGCAATGCCTGGGGACAACCTGAGTCGCACCAAGCTCGGGGCTCCCAAGTGGAACACTGGTGGCCTAAGAGTGGGGAGCACAGCAGCCTATTAAGAGGTCAAGGGGAGGCTATGACCACCCATCCTGAGGGCTTGTTTGCCCCCCTGTAAAACAGGTTGGGTGGGCCAATCCTCATCCACACTCCTGGACACCATCACTCCAGGTGGAGGCACGTTTGGGTGGGGCACGCCTACCCACAGGTGGCCTCTCTCTCCTCCAAGCAGGCCTATGAGAGGGGCCGGCTAAGCGGACAGTGCAGCATCTGCGGGGCTATCAGCAGTTGGTAGGAACAATTTTCCCTCTCAAGGTTCCAACCCCTCCCCATCTTGTGCTCAACACAGGACTATTTCTGGATTTGGGCACAGCTGCCCTAGAACACTGGAAATATGCTCCCATCTCTCAGTGTGGGTCAGCTCAATTTTCTATCACCAGCCATTAGCCTATGGGGGGCAGAGGCCTGTTTCCAGGGTTGATAACCAATCTCTGCATTTGAGCTGAACAGCAAATTCAAGGGCCTGGGTCAGGCTTATCTTATCATTATGGTGTCGTCAGTGGAAGAGCAGGTGCATCAAATCCTGTGGCAAAGTTAGGGGAAGGAATGGCGTAATGGGCACTGTGGTAGGTCATGGGCACTTGGAATTCAGCCGCCCATGTAGGAGGGCATGCATGCGAATTTCCAAATTGACTTATTTAGCACTGTGTGTCCAGTTAAATTGTTTTGGGAAAAACAGACTGTTCCTAGGTGCATGGGTTAACCAAGTAATTTTTAGAAAAACATTTGCTTTGCGGTTTAGTAAAAATGATTCTTTGAGTTTAATAAACAAGATCAGGTTGTTGTTGTTTTTTAAAATATATCTTTATTGATTTCAGAGAGAGGAAGGGAGAGGGAGACAGAGACAGAAACATCAACAATGACAGTCACTGACTGGCTGCCTCCTGCGTGCCCCCCACTGGGGATCGAGCCTGCAACCCGGGCATCTGCCCTGACTGGGAATCGAACCTCCATCTCCTGGATCCTAGGTCGATGCCCAACCGCTGAGCGACACCAGTCGGGTAACAAGCTTAGCTTTGACTTGGGTTTACAGAATGTTTTATTCAAAATCTCTCATGTTTATTTTAAAAGAGTAATGGGATGCCTTTATATTTTCAGTAATTTGTTTGTGGCTTTTCCTAAAAAATCCAAACCAGAACTAAGCTTCCCAGGGGAAGCGCTAGGCCCTCCCTGGCAACATGCCTAGCTTTCAGGAATGCGCGCTGCCCCCTTCAGACTATAAACTCGGCAGGACTCAGAAAGCCATCCAACTAATTCTCTGCTCTGGGGAGAGGACATCATTCCAGTCTTGGAGCTTCTTGCAGTCAGGGGGAAGCAGAGGTTCAGAACTGAGCACTCAGGTGCTGTTGGAGCACAGAGGCACAAACCCTCGACCAGGTGGTCTAGGGTGAAGGCTGAAAGGAGTTAGCTAGAGTAGTGGAAACAGGGCAGCAGTAGGTGCTCCAGCGTAAGGAACAAAATGGAGAGGAGTCAACATAGGAACTGCCAGTGGGCCCATGGGCTGGAGCAAGGTGGGAGTGGGGGTGAAGTGTGCAGAGAATGCCAGAGGGCTGCAGGGGGCATGAGACAGGTGCCTGTGGGTCATCCCATGTGGGGTCACTCAGCAGGAAGCAGGATATGGGGACATGGAGCTCAGGAGGGGGCTCAAGCTTGGAGAAGGGCTGAGGACCCACAGCATAGAGATGGCAGGAATGCCCGAGCTCTGAGGAGGGAGACAGTGGAGGAGCAGCTAGAGTGGGGATCAGTCTGAAGGGAGTCACTAACACCAAGGGGGAACTAGTGGGCAGACAGGGGATTCCTGGGGCTCAGTGCACAGGTCACCTTGGCAAGAACAGGTAAGAAAGGAAATGAAGTGGGAAAGAGGAAAAAGTGAGAGTGTAGATTTTTTCAAGAAGTCTATCATAAAGGGACAAGAATTTAAGCCTGGGGGAAGTGCCCCCCCCCCCATTTTTAATGAAAAACTTAATCATTTGGTGGGAGAAGTGATGAAAGAAACAGAAAACCTAGGAGAAAGATGACTTGTTGAAGTGAGGTCTCTGAGGGTGTGGCAGACCCCAGAGTTCTTGGTGTGTGGCGGGCAATGGACACCACTTTTTTCCTTCTAAGAAATCCTCACTGACTGGCTGAAGGGTGGGCACTGAACAAAGTCATCCCTGCCCTTCACACAATCATGCTGTGTGAGCCCCAATATATTTTCCTTTTAGCCTAGACCAGTTCCTGTCGGGTCTCTTGAAATATGGGAGCCCAGTTTGAAGACGTTTCTGTATTAACCAGGTGATATTTAAAATATTGGCTCAGCCGCTAATAGCAGATGAAGGACGGAATGCAGGTTGTGCAGAAGGCTCTCCTGCAAGTTTCCAGCACAGATTGCTGACCCAAGGTCTCCCTCCTCCATCTGCCTGGACTGGTTACGCAGAGGCACCAAAAGGTAGCTTGTGAGGAGCCAGGGTCTCCTTCCCAAACATGGCTCCCCTCATCAGAAATTTGTCAGATTCTGTCTTTGCTTAATTTATCCATGCTTCTTTTAAAACTACTAACAATTGAGTTTATTGCCCCTTGGAGTTCCTTAGTTCATACAGAAGGACCAAGTATCTCCATTGACACACACTCACCTCTTTGTAAGCTTCCAGAGGTGGTCTGTCGTGGTGTCCCCGCAGACATCCTGAAGATGTGGTACAAAACTTGGCTCCCATCTTGGAGCTGTCATGTCTTGTTTGCTTGGGCTCCAAGATCCTCTGTAATGTGGCTCCACATGACCTTTCTTCCTTTCACTCTCTAAATTTCCAGCATCCCTTGGGTCCAGTTCAAGTCCCACTTCCTCCAAGAAACACAGCAGCACAAGTGTGCTAGGGTGGACTGGCTAGGGTGCCATCTCTTACTCTTGACAATCTGAGGAGGCTCAGGGCCTGCCCCTGTTCCCCAAGAAATGCCCTGCAGGCTGCAAGGCTCTCTTGGTCCTGCACTGATAGCCATGGCAACCAGTTTATGCTCTTGTTCCCATGATGAGCTGTTCATGAGGCTAGGAGGAAGTGGACAGACCCATCCTCCCAGCTGTGCTCCCAAAGACTATGTTTCCCAGCACCCCTTGTAGCTAGGTGTGGCCTTATGACTAGGTTTTAGCCAGTGGGATATGTGTGAAAATGAAAAGGGCAAATTTTGCTTCATGTCCTTAAAAATGAAGTTGCTTGCTCTCCACACTCTTTGGTGTTCCACTGGAAAAGACAGTGATCCAGCTCCAGCCACACCAAGGGACACTGGGACCATGGATGGGAGGGTACTAGGTGTCTGGACTAGGTAGGCTGTTACTGAGAAATAAATGAACATCCACCTTATCTGAGACACAAAAGTGAAGACACTTTTATCTAATATTCAGGCTCAAAATCAAGTTGGAATCTAAGACTCCCACCACCCAGGATCTGAGGCACTTCCACATAAAAGTCCTGGAAATGAGGACAGATATGAAAGAAAATTTCATATGAAAGAAAATTTCATAAGAAGCTATTTAACACAGTAAGTGTGAGTGTAAAGACTTATTCTGGTTGGAGTGACACAATCAAGATAGTTTTGTACCAAAGCACCAGAGAGTCAGACTGGCCTTAGCCCTGAGCCACCTCCTCTCTCCATGCCCCTGGCCATCTTCCCAGGGTGCCAGGCTGGCTGGGACCACAGTACCAAAGATGTGTTGGGAGGGGAAGGTGGGTCCTTGGCATGCAGCCAAGAGCTGGAGGGGCTGAGCTTACTGGGAAAAAGGAGTTGGGGGGACTGTGGCCTCTCTTTGGCCAGTTGAGACAAAATAGTAACAGTAGGGCCGGGGGTGGCCTAGGAGAGCCCCAGCCCTGGTATGACTGCCCTACCCCAGAAAAAGGGAGAGACGTTTCCTCAGGGAGGCAAAGCTTTTATTACCTGATAATCCCTAGTGTGGTGACAGAGATACCGCTCTGGTTCCCTTACTTCCACAGTGTGGGTGGGTGGTGGGAGAAGGGGATGTGTGGGGAGAGGAGGGGTTATTTACAAAGCAGGGAGGGAACAGTGGCCTGAAAGGGCACTGGGACAACCAATTTCCTCAAAAGCTCTGAGAACTTTGTGCTCTTTTTCTTAGTTGATGCCACGCTACCTGGAAAGGGTTTTGCATGTATCCTTTAGGAAAAGATGTATAAACCACAGAATATAGCCCAATTTCCAGGCAGAGAATTTCACGATATCAATCCAAACATCACACTATTTAATTCCCCAATAAAACATTGGAAAAAGGACTATCAGTGCTGACACATTTACATATAAAATCTCCACCTAATAAGTAATAGAAGCCTATGTACCAATTTCTAAAACAGCTGTAAGATATGTACACAGTTTCGGGCGTATTAACAACAGAATATTACAAACACTAACGGCAGGCCTCCCGCCCTTGGGCCGCACCGCCTCTTACTTGAAGTTGGCATAATCTGAGAAGGCGTCAATATACTCCTGCACCACCTTGTAGCAGAACTCATACTGCTCCTGGAGAGCGAGAGGGGGGAGCCAGGGTTACTGACGAGAACATATACGCGGTTCCTGCCACAGTTCTGGCAACACCCTCTCCTGGGGTGAGCGCAGCTAACTTCCTACATATGGAGGCGACCAGAGAGGAAGAGGTCAGATGTGCATGCTGGCTTGGTACAGCTGGTGGGCAGATGGCTCTGTGTAGCCCACACCTCACTATGGCTGTCAGGCTCAAAGCACCTCATTAACTCCCAAACATCTTAAAATTTACTTTCTCCATACTTGGTGGTTACTAGTCAGACTGTCAGAAGACAGACCTCTTAACAGGGAGCCTGAGTAGAAGAGAGGAGGCACTCCTGAGTCTTCCACTTCCCAGGACTCATGGAGAGGTGTAGATAAGCCCATGGGGCACCCCGCACCGCCTTCTAGCCTTTACAGAGGCCACAAGGCCCAACATGATCTGAGGGGTCCCTGCCCAGGCCAGGCAGGTGGTGCACCAGGAAGAGTTACTGATAACAGGGCTATCCCTCATGCTTTCACTGCCTCCCAAGACTCATTCTGTCTGGGGAACCCTGGGGAAGGGAAGGATGGGTCTGTAGTTACACAGGTTCTGACAACCAGATGGGCCCCGGGAAGAACCTCCTCCCTGAGCTGACCCCAACAAAGGGCTACAATTGTAGTGGTGTGGACAGACGCGCACAGGCAGCATACCAGTGTCTGGACCATGTGTGGCCTCTGCAGCCGCAGGCTCTTGACGGTCTGGAAGACATCCAGAATCCCCTCCGCTTTCACCCGTTCCAGGACTGTGCTTAGGGCGCAGAAGGTCCCCGTCCGTCCTGCCCCCGCACTATAAGAGAGGAAACACACATAATACACCAGCCCTCTGTGCTGACAAGGTAACTGACAGTGGCAATGAGCAGATAAAGGCTGAAGTTGGTGCTAGGGGTGGAGCAGGAGTCCCCTCTGCACCTCATCACATAAGCCCCTTGCTCCCACGGCTCTGGGGAAGCAGGTGCACCTCTGCTGCCCTTCCTGCACCACCCACTTTGCCTGGTGAGGGTCTAGCTCATGGGATAGTAGTGAAGAACCTCCAATCCCCACCCCAGGCACTGAGCCTTTGCTGTCTACCTACAAACAAGCCTGGGTTTCCCTGGCCTGCGGCTCACTCATGTTAGAGTTCTAATTCTCTCCTTCCCCTGACAAACCCTGCTCCTCTGCACTGGTGTGTGGTATGTATGTGCTGATTCTTTTCCATGCCTCTCATTTTCTTCCTAAATCCTAGGAATCCAGATTCTCACCATGACACTGTCCACCCTAATGCTACCAGTTGACTCATTCACTCACCAGACCCTACTGAGTGCCTGCTGTGTGGTAGGGACTGTGATGGGCAGCAGTATCCCAAATGATACTAAGATACGCAGCATAGGCAGGGTGGGGAGAGCTGCTATTGTGAGTAGGGTGGTCAGGGAAGGAGCTCTGCCATGTGAGTAGAGACCTGAACAAGGTGAGAGCAAGTCTGACTGGCTGGCTAGCAAATAAGCATTCAGGCACAAGGCAGGAGTGTGTCTACGTGCTGAAGCTGTGTAGCTGGACCTGATAGATGGAAGGAAAGAAGGCAGGCAGGCAGGAGGGTGCTGGGGTGCGGTCAGATCTCTTAGGGAGAATGCCAGTCCCCTGGTGTACCCCTAGTCTGGCCTTGGCAAGGAGCCCAAAGGTCATGTTGGGCCTCGTGAACTGTTGTCAGATTCTAAGTAAAGGAGTGATGTGGTCTGCCTGAAGTTTTAAAAGGATATCTCAGGCTGCTGAGACTGGGGAAAGGGTGGAAACAGGCAAAGCAGTGAGGCCATTATCATTACCAGGAAAGGGGGATGGTGGCTTGGACAGGGGTAGTGGTGGAGGGAGTGAGAGACATCTGGTTCTGAAATTACTCTGCATGGAGATCAAGGCAGGGCATTAGATGTGCATGTGTGAGGAAAAAAGAGGACAGGATGGCTTCAAGGCATCTCACTTGAGTTGAGTGGTGACTGAAATGCCACACTGATTTTGGGAAGGTTGTGGCAAAAGCAAGCTTGGAAAGAAGAATCAGGAGTTCTGACCGAAACCCTTTAAACCGCAATGCCCAAGTGGAAGTGTTGAGTACGTAACAGATATATGAATATGGAGTTTAGGGGAGAGGTTGAACTGGTGATAAAGATTTGGGTGCTGGTATGAAGGCCAGGAGACTTAGATGGCTCACCTAGGGGAGTGACTGTTAGTTGACATAGAAAAGGTCCAAGGACTGGGTCCTGGACCACAAATGGAGAGGAATTAACAAAGGTGACAGAGAAGAAACAGTTGACGATAACAAAAAACCAGGAGAGAAGCTACACTGAAAGCATTCCACAGAGACATGAGTGATCAACATCCAATACTGATGAAGATCAAGGATAACGAGACTGGGAAGTGGTCTCTGGACTTGGCAATGTGGAGGTTACAGGTGGTCCTCACAGGGGCAGCTCCAAGGGAGTGTGAGTGTGTGTATGTTTTTAACTGGAATGGGATCAAGAGAAAATGACAGAAGAATTAGAGAGTAAGTGTGAACAAATCTTTTGAGAAGTTTTATTATTAAGGAAAAGAGAGAAATAGAGGGGTAGCTGAAGGGGAACTGAAAGCAGAGTTCTGTTTTGTTTTTTAATATTAAGACGGGAGAAATTATAGCCCATCTGTATGAAGATGGTAGTTTTCTACGTAGTTATTCCAAGGAAAACCTGATCATGGAGGATAGCAAAGTCAAGTCCTTGAGGAGATAAAAGGGGACAGAATTGGTATCCAACTGGAGGGTGGGGGTGCAGACAGGCTCTAGTGTGGCCCCCAAGATTCCTGCCTCCTGGTGTTCATGGCCTTGTGTGATGCCCCTCCGGAGTGTGGGAGGGACCTGTAATGTGCTTCTAACCAATAGAAATAGCAAGGGTGATAGCATGTATACAATTACACATATGTGATTACGTTACATGAGATCATAATGCCTGTCTTGCAAGGAGATGCTCTCTCCTTTGCTGGCTTAGAAGAAAGAAGCAACCATACTGGGAAGGTCCATGTGGCAAGAAACTTCAAACAAGATGCCCCCAGTTCAGCAGCCTACAAGGAACTGAATGCTACCAACAACCAAGTGAGCTTGGAAGTGGATCCTTCCCCATTTGAGCCTCAGGTGGGTCCACAGCCCTGGCCAGCACCTTGACTTCAGTCTTGTGGGACCCTGAAGCACAAGACTCAGCTGAGACATGCTCAGACTACTGAGCACAAAGACTGAGATAAATGTGTGTTGTTTTCAGATGCTAAGTTTGTAGTAATATTATATAACAATAGATTAATGTAGCTGGCTTCAGAGGGGTCAGACAACTCATGCACTGAACAGGAGGGTTGCAGGATCCACAGCACCAGTATAGGTAGGTGGGGAGCTATGGTGGTGGGAATATGTGGAAGTTCTCTCTGACTGCTACTCTTTTCTTAGTCAAATAGAAAACATAGTCACCTCTGAAATATGAGGATGGGAGAGGTGTTGGAGGTTTAAGGTTTGAAAGGAAGTATGAAATAATCGTCTAGGAAAAAGGCTGGCAAGTTTTTCTGTAACGGGCGAGATAGAAATATCTTAGGTTTTGCTGGGAAGAGACAAAACTGAGCAATAACTGGGCAATTGTAACTTCTTGTGTGCTGAGCAGCACTGTGAGATGAGGAGGGCGCTACTACGATCTCAGCTGTACCACTGTAGCATGAGAGCAACCACAACCAAAAAACACATGAGCACAGTCACGTTCCAATAAACTTTGAATTCTATGTAATTTTCATGTCATGAAATATTGTTTTGATTTTTAAAAAACCATTAAAAAAACCCCCCACAGTTCTTAGCTTGCAGACTCACACAAAACCAGGTGGCAGGCTGGATTTGGTGATGGGCCCTACTTGGCCTAGCTCTAGTCTAGGAGACTGAGATGCAGAAGGACTGCAGGGCAGCACTAAGAGCCAACCATGAGGTCAGGGGTCAAGAATGTAAAATGAGCCCAGCCAGGCGTGGCTCAGTCGTTGAGCATTGACCTAGGATCCAGGAGATAGCAGTTTGATTCCCGGTCAGGGCACATACCCAGGTTGCGGGCTCCATCCCTGGTAGGGAGCATGCTGGTGGCAGCCGATCAATGACGGCTCTCTCATCACTGATGTTTCTATCTCCCTCTCTCCCTCTCTCTCTCTGAAATCAATAAAGATATATTAAAAAAAAAAAAAAAAGGAAATGTAAAATGAGGCCTGTAACACGGCACTTTTCTTCAGCCACATTCAGCTGCATGGTGCAGGTACAGGGTAGCTAGAGAATCTGAGATGTCCTAAGAGAGGGTGACCAAGAGAGAAGAGCATGGGAGATAAAAAGTGTGGGCAGGAAGTGTTTAGGCCATGGAATCCTTTTACTTCTGCCAATGGGCAAGAGCCATGTTTCACTGTTTTCATTCTCATTTCTCATATTGCAAGTACAGTCTAGCATCTTTTCATGTTCACTGTCCATTAGTATTAGTTCATGTACTTTGCCTCTTTTTCTTCTTCACTTTTTAAAACAATTTCTTTTTGTACAGGTAATTAATTAGCAT